TAAAGTCGGACGAACCTACTGCAATTAAAGAAGATATGGCCCTACCCGGCTTTAAAACAATTCAATACTGCCGATCAGACCATCGTGGAGGAGGCGTTGCAATAATATATAGAGACAACTTAAATATCAAGCCACTCTCATTATCATCTACCTGTCTGTCTTATGAACGTACATCAGCTAAACTATATCTGGCAAATACTATCTACAATATTGTTGCTATTTATCGATCAAATCCAATCATTCCAACAAACATTTTCTTTTTCGAATTATCTGAACTCCTAGAGGAACTTCAAACATTATCTGGAGAAATACTTCTGTTTGGTGACTTTAACTGTCCAGGTACTACTTCAATAACCTGCAATTCAAGAGTTAATGAGATAATAGAGAAAACTTTAGAAAACTAAACTTGTCATGCTTTTTAAAAGAATTGCAAGTGATGCCATGTTGCTTATCACCTGAAAACAATGTGGATGATTATGCTGAACAAATAAGATCAAGTATAACAACTGTTCTTGATCATTTAGCACCCATTCGAAAATATTCAATGCGAATTGGTAAACACGATGATTAATGGTTATCTTCAGATGCCAAGAATAAAAAAATCAGACGTCGTAAACTGGAGCGTTGTTATAGAAAAACTGGTAGTTTATCAGATAAAAAATTATATCGAAGTGCATGCCGTGAGGCTGCAGCAGCAATTCACAAATCCAGATGTAGTCATTATAAGACGAAACTAAATTCAGCATACGGTGATCAAAAAGAAACATGGAACATTGCCAAGAAATTACTACATTCAAATAGTTCTAAAATTAATAACACAATACCAGAAGCAAAATACGATGTAATAAGTCAATATTTCATACGCAAACTCGAAATTATAAAGAACACTATCCAGGAAAGGCTTGCAAAAACTCCAATATCTAAATTTATCTCACAGTTATCTCCCCCTCTATATATATAAACAACATTTGGTACAGTCACACCTAAAGATGTGTCGAAAATAATCAAAACTCTCAAACCTAAGACATCGCCACTTGATATTATTCCAACAAACATCCTTAAATCTTGTTCAGAAATATTCAGTCCAATTATAGCTCACCTTGCTGACCTCTCATTCAAATCCGGAATTTTCCCAACCTCATGTAAAGTTGCTCAAATAACACCAATTCCCAAAAAATTAGGACTAGCAGAATTTGACCTAACAAATCTACGCCCCATATCAATCTCAATACAATTTCGAAAGTTCTTGAAAAGCTTGCTTTATCTCGTCTTCATCCACATGTAACATCATCTGTTAACTTCAATACTCTACAATCTGGTTTTAGATCTTATCACTCAACCGAAACAGCACTCTTAAAGATATGCAATGACATCCTGTTAAACATTGATGATGGTTTGACCACTATTCTCCTATCTCTAGACATATCTTCAGCATTTGATACAATCGATCACAGCCTGCTGATTACCCGTATTAAGAATGATTTTGGTGTCACAGATATTGCATTAAAATGGCTAACATCATACTTGCACTCTCGAAAATCTTTTGTTTCTATTAGATCATCAAATTCTAGACTAATAGCAAGTTCAACAGGAGTACCACAAGGTAGTGTATTAGGCCTTTTAAATTTTTATTTTCCACGTTTGTTTCACTTATATATTGTATTATAGCTAAATTTGGTACAAATCTATATGCTGATGATACCCAACTTTATACTTTCCTCAGCCCTGGCAAAGATAGCATCAACAAAATCATGTGCTAATGCAGTAATGCAGCGTGTGCTAATGCAGTAACAACATGGTTTCTAGAAAATGGACTTCTGCTTAATCCAAATAAAACAGAAGCTACTTTATTTGGATCTAGAAAACAAACTAGCAAATATAAAAATGATTTGAACATTGCGTTTTCTGCGAACCACAATAACTACAATAAATTCAGTAAAAACCCTTAAAGTCATCCTAAATTCAAAGCTCTCTATGGACAAGCACATAAACAATATTATTAAATCCTGCAATTACCACATTCGTGCACTTCGCCACATTCTTCCATGTCTGACCAAAGAAGCTGCAAACATAATTGCTTGTGGCATCGTTAACTCTCAGCTTGACTATTGTAACAGCATTTTACCTAGCGCTTATCAAAAAAATATTAAGAATTCAAAATAACTTATCTCGTATTGTTTTCCATTCTCCTTTCCATTTAAAATCAGAAATATTGCTGAAATCTCTTCATTGGTTGCCAATGCATCAAAGAATAATCTATATATTATCAGTTATCATATATAAAATTTTATTATCAAAATCTCCTGCATATTTATTTGAACTTCTAGAAGTCCGAACTTCAAAACAAAATACAAGATCATTAGACAGTTGCCAACTTACACGTCGTCAACAAAAAACCTCCCTAGACTCAAAATCTTTTTGTATGACTGCACCTCGAATTTGTAATGGTTTATCTTTGAACACGCGAAACTCAACTTCTATAGAAACATTCAAAAAAAGACTAAAATATGAACTTTTTATGAATTCTTTCAGACTCATAGTTTACTTGTTTAGTGCTTCTGAATTACTTCATCACTATTGTGATTGTTGTAAATAATGGCACTTTAATCTCTAATTTTTATTATTATTATTATTATTATTATTATTATATATATATATATATATATATATATATATATATATATATATATATATATATATATATATATATATATATATATATATATATATATATATATATATATATATCAATAGATACCTGCAGGCATACCTAAAACAATTTAAAGAGTTCAGGAAAATTAAAGCCACTCAATTTCCCGTTCTGAAAATCCTCCCCACCCTCTGATAGAACTTGTGTTCATGATTTTATGTAATCAAATAATCTAATCCATTTGATCGCCATTAAGACTAAAATACAAACCAGAAAGAGTCGTATACTACAAGAATTTTATAGAATTCGCCTTTATAAAGGCAATTAAATTTATTAGATTTAATAAATGCAATATTCATATCTGCGAATCTGCATAAATCTAAACAGCATAAATGTGAATCTTTTGTATGGGCAACGTAGTAGCAGAATAAGATAAGTGAAAAGTGCAAGCAAGGCATGATCTTCCACAAGACACGTAAAGACCGGGCCTAGGGCCCCCAAAATTTTTGGGGCCCCCTAATTTTTAGCTTTTAATAATTTTTTAGCCCATCAGAACTTTTCTGACGTAACAATAGAATTTAAAAATATTTATTTTATTTTAAAAACTTTGAGGTAAAAAAGAACTGAAATGATTTCAAGATGATTTGTTTGGATTTAACTTTTCCGCTCCGAAGTGCACCTTTTGGCGCTCTCGCTAGATTCGAAGTACGCCTTTTGGCGTTTTTAAATATACCTCTATGTTTTACACAAAATCTCAAAAACATTATGTTCTGTTGCATTTCTGAATTTAAAACACTGATCTCAAAATACTCAATTTGTCGTTCAGCTCTCGCGGGATAATTTTAAAACGTTGTTTTACAATTATAGCGGTGACTTCTAGACTTAAAAGACCCGACAAGAAAGTCTTTTAAGCAATTATTAATTTTTCAAATATAGATCATGAGTTCATAACATGCTATGAATTATCATATAATACAATGAGTTCATAACAAACCATATTATTTATTGTTCAAATCTTAAATATTTTTGTGTTGGTAATAGATTGTTTAAAATGTAAATTGTTTTTAAATTGGATGTAAATGTAGTGCATTCTAGTAAAATAGTGTTTAAGATAAGTATTTTTTTATTAATTGATTAACGCACTGTTCTTTAAAAAAATTGGCCTCTCTTTATGTAGAATTTCTATAGAAAGAGTGGTCAGTTGTATAACTTGTATTTTAGTTGTATTACTGCTCTGTTTTTAAAGAACAGAGCTGTGATCAATAAGTAAAAAAACACTAATTTTCATGATGTTCCTCCACTCCTCCAAAGGTAAAACTGGCAATATATATATATATATATATATATATATATATATATATATATATATATATATATATATATATATATATATATATATATATATATATATATATATATATATATATATATATATATATATATATATATATATATATATATATATATATATATATATATATATATATATATATATATATATATATATATATATATATATATATATATATATATATATATATATATATATATATATATATATATATATATATATATATATATATATATATATATATATATATATATATATATATATATATATACAGTGGCGGATTTAGTATAAGGCGTGGGGGGGGGGCGAGCTGCCCCCCACGCACCCTAGAACGGTTAAACAGCGCCCCCTAAAACATTCACAAAAAAATTATTATAAGTTCAAATTATCAATGAAAATTAAAATGAAAAAGAATAAAAATCAAAACAAAACTAAAAAGTAAAAGTAAAGAGAGAGAGAAAATAGTTTAAAACAGAGGGAAAAAAAAAGTCTAAGATCAAAACATTAAAAACGATTAAAACGCTTGAATAAATAAGAACAAACGAATCATCAAACCATTGCTGACGTAAAATTAATCAATCAACGTACTAAAATTTCTTTTTAAAAGGAATTTTATTTGAATTTAATTGTTTTGATCTTAAGATTTTGTTTTTTATAACTAATTTTTTTTTTATGATTTCTGATTGTCTTTGTATTGGAAATCAGTATCTGTTGTCAGCTTTTCTGTTCTCGTAATTGTATTGTTGCCGTTTAAACAAATTCTAAAAATTTTTATTATTATTTGATTTTTAATTATTATTGACTATTTATTATTCTTATTTAATTAGATGTTAAAAATTAGTGACTTAGGTGTTTGCTTAAGATAATCAGCATTGCTATTTGTAAGAGTTATTAAAATATTTTTTACAGAGTATATATGAGAGATCGATTATAATTTATCGGAAGAACAGTTTAGCAATAGTCGTAAATCTTAGCACTAGTATTGTTACGTTAACTACTATGGATGATAACAACCACGAGTTTAGCAATGAAAGCAAAAAACGAACGTTAAGTGGAGCAGCTACCCGTAAGTTAGCTAAGAAGGTTCGTTTGAACATGGATGCAAGTAAGTGTCACAAACTAACATCATATTTAACTAAATTGTCGCGTATTTACAGCAGTTACAACTGCTGTAAATACGCTTGTGTCTGAAGATCAACACCTTTCTAAAAGTGTCCATACAGAAAGTAGTGAAACTGATACGCCTGCTGAAAGTTTTCAACACTGCTTCGAGCAGACAAACAATAATGAAGCATTTAATGAAAAAGAACTTACCCCATATATCCCGATACTAGTTACAACTGTTCAAGAACCACTTCTTCCTCAATCGGAGTTCCCTTCAGATCCCGGACTATATAACAATACGAGTTTGAGCGCAAAGCTGATAAGGAAGTTATGTGAAATAGGACCATGTCAGCCAGGTCTACAGAAATCTTTCCGATTTCCAACTGATGAAGCCGGCCGTAAGTTCCAAACATCTTGGTATACAAAAACTATTGGAAAGGGAAGTATAAAAAAGGAAAGAAATTGGCTTGTATTTTCACCTAGCAATCAAAAAATGTACTGCCACGCTTCCTGGTTATTTGCTGATTTTAAAGCTGAAAATTATAGCAAAGAATGGTCTGATACATCTGCAGGAGTTTATAAGTGGAAAAAAGGCATGGAAAAAATAGTTGAACACGAAACTTCTCACCAGCATCAAAACGCAATACGCCAATATTTGCTCACTAAATATCGTATTTCAAATGATAAAACTGTTATATCTGGTTTAATTAGTCAAGAGTGTCGTCAAGTAGAAAAGAATAGAGAAGTTTTGAAACGAATGATAGACGTAACGTTGTTCTTAGCAAAACAAGGTTTATCATTTAGAGGACACAGAGAACATCAACATTTCAAAATTGGTAATAAAGGTACAGCTAATAACGCTGGCAATTTTCTTGAACTGTGAACTCTATTATCCAAATATGATCTTACTTTGGAAAATCATCTTAGGTATGAAAAGAGAAATCAGCTGTATCTAAGTCATGATGTACAAAATGATTTAATTCAATCGCTTGCTTCTGAAATTTCATCCACAATCAACAATGAGGTTAAATTAGCCCAGTTTTTTTCGTTAATTATTGATTCAACTATTGATATTTCCAAAATTGATCAGATGTCAGTTTCGTTACGAATGGTTTTAAAATCAGGTAATGTTGTGGAAAGATTCATAGGCTTCTATACTTTAGAAAACAGCAACGCTGAAGCATTTGCTGAGTTAATTTTATCTGAGCTTGAAAAACGAAACATTGATATTAAACTCTGCAGAGGACAAGCATATGATGGTGCTTCTGTAATGTCTGGAATTAAAAGTGGTCTTCAAACTCGGATAAAAGCGTTTTCACCAAATGCCATCTATGTTCATTGCTGTGCTCATGTTTTAAATTTGGTGACCATTGAAGCAATGTCTGTAAACAGCGAAGTCCAGTTATTTTTTGGCACAACTGAAAAATTGTATACGTACCTTACGTCTAGTTTACCACGACTTCATATTCTCCAAGAACACCAAAAACGTCTATATGAATCAACAGTAGACACTCTGAAACGACTTTCTGATACAAGATGGGCAAGTAGGAAGCATGCAGTTGATGCTGTTGTTGAATCTTTTTCTGCTATTTTAGCCACTCTAGAAGATATAAATCTAGGAGAATCCAAACAACATACAGGAGATGTTAGAGCAGAAGCTATTGGACTATCAGTTTTAATAAAAAAACATTCATTTGTTTTTCTAATGATATTTCTGCAAAAGTTGTTAAATAATCTTTTTGTGTTATCTAACTATTTGCAACGAAAAGATATAGACGTTTTATTTGCAAAACAGTTGATTGATGTTACAAAAAAAAATTTGTCGATATGAGAAACGATGCAGCTTTTGAAGTTCTACATTTAGCAGTCAAGTCATTTATTAGCGGAAAATGTGCCGAACTAGATGTAGAGACTGAATTTAAAGAAAAGCGAGTAGCCAAAAAAAAATGCATGACAGGAGAGCTGTGGAGAGATGAAAGAATAGATGACCCAACTACACGTTTTAAATGTGAAACCTACTTCAATGTTTTGGATACAATTATAACCCAAATAAATGAACGATTTTACGACTTTAGTAACACAGTTACACATTTCGACTGCCTTGACCCATCAAAGCTGTCTGAGGAAAATATTAATTCATTTAAAAACTTATGTCAAGTTTATTGTAACGACGTAAACACTGAAGAAGCAATTGTAAAGTATGAAACATTCAAAGATGTGTATGCATCAATATCCCCATCACTGACAACTGACCTACAAATAAAAGATGTACTTCAATTCTTGATTGAGAAACAGATGGCACCCGGCCTCCCTAACTTGTCTATTCTTTACAAAATCTACTTGACTCTTCCTGTTACATCTGCTAATGCTGAAAGAAGTTTCAGTAAACTAAAGATTATAAAAAATTATCTCAGATCAACAATGACAAACGACCGTCTTTCTGGATTAGCATTAATTTCTATTGAACGAGAGCTTGCTGAAACCATTGACTTTAACTTCTTAATTAATCGTTTTGCTTTAATGAAATCTCGCAAAAAAAAATTTGTGTAAATTATCTGAGAAGTGAACTTTTTTTCTAGATGCTAACTTTTCCAATATGTCAAGTTAAATATATTTTTAAATGAATGAACTATTTCAGCAACATTGAATGTTTCTAATTTTTTTAAAAGATAATTGTTAACTAAAATTAACGCAGGAAACTCAGAAAAAATTAGGTTACTTACCCAGCCGGCAAATAACGTTGAAATAACGTTGAAATATCGTTGAAACCTAACGTTGAATTAACGTTGGTTTAACGTTTAGAATGAAAGTTTTTTTCAACGTTGATTTATCAACGTTAAATCAACGTTAGGTTCAAACGTTATATCAACGTTGATTCGACGCGAAAAAACGCTACAACAACGTTGAATTTACGTTGATACAACATTTAAAATGATAGTTTTTTTAACGTTGATTTATCAACGTTAAACGACTGTAAAATTCTTTTTCACCATCAAAACGTGCTATATATATCAAAATGTATCTATGTAAGTAAACGTGCTATGTGCGTCAAAATATGATCGCCATCAAAACGTACTATGCATGTACATTAGTGTTGCTGTACATTATCAAGGTATATTATGGATATTAAATCTATTCATAGTCTATACTTAGACTATTTAAAACTTTTTCAGTTTAGTTTAGTTAAAATAGCTAGGTATGATTAAAGAAAGAGATAAAACTTGTTTTATTCAAAAATACATATTCAAATATTACATATATTTACATGTAATTGAATAAAATCTACACAAATTTCTTCTCTTTTCCACCACCTTTTTGAAATAAAGCGTAATTTAGAAAGTCAAACAATGCTCCATTAACCAAGGGTCCATTGAGTAAAATATAAGAAGCTGTAAATAAAAAAATATATAAAAAAAAACAAAAAGGGAAGATTTAAAAAATAAATAATAAAGGTATATCTTTTTCAACGCCATATAGATTAGTGTTCTTAAAACATATTTTTCCACCTTTGCCCTTCATATCCATGGAGGCCATATAACTTTTCGAAAATACTCTGAGTTTTTAAAAAATAATATAACTGTTAGTTGGTTATTAATAACTTTTTCAAATATTTAATTTAAATAAAACAACCTTTTTAATATATTAAAAATAAATTAATAATCAAAATATAAAACATTTCTAGCATTGAAAAATAATTTTCGGGGTAGCCACATAAAATTTTTATAAGAAATTCTATGTGGCCATTTATTAATGGTTTAACGTCCATGTTTATACACTTAAGGGGTTTGGCAAAGGATCAAATAATGCCATTTGTTATGTTAAATAGCATGCATTTTCTAAAGCAATTTTTTACAATTCCATGCACTTTAAGGCGTTAACCAGTTTTGCAGACCGAGAATGGGTATTTTGAACATTATACATCCATTAAAAATTAAAAAAGGAAGAATTAATGAGGAGCTTTGATCAAATTTTTACCTCTTTAGAGGATAATAGAGGATTTTAGAAGTGGTTTTAAAAAAAGAGGACTTTAGAGGATTTTAGAGGAGCTGCAGACACCCTGATTATAAATGAGGTAACTCCACCAATTAACTGTAATTGATTTATCTGTAAAAAAACATGAAGTAAATCTAATATTATGCTTGTGGAGATATATTATATTGTGGAGAACCATCCAAACCACACAAGTGGAAAATTTGCATCCAAGTTTCCACTTGTGTGCAAATCTTGCGTCCACTTGTCAACATTCTCATTATCACATTTTTCTTTTGTAGTTGTGAATTTAAAATTTTCACAATACTGTTTGCTTTCTTTTAGAATTGAAATAGTTATACAAATAGTTATATATTTTGTATCAACAAAATAACTCTTCTTACCACATTATTTAAAAAATAAAAATTGTAATATATAGATGTAATACCTGAAGAGAATTTAGTTTTTATTTGTATAAACTTAAACCAATTCTTCTCTGCATTTTAGTGCAGTCAATGCTTTGGTAACTGGAAGCCGACAAACAGTTTTATCACTAATCCAATCAGATGGAATTACTTCTTCTTGTTAATCTTCATTCCAAACAGCTCCTTTCCGCATATTCGATTTTGAAAAAATTACATGAACTAATATAAAATGAAGAAACCATAATATAAGTGTACTAACAGGCCTAATTAAACTAGCTAAATTTGAACATTTTATAACCATGATACTTGCTAAACAATAATATTAGTAGACATTATAAGCAAAGATAAGATTTTCTTTATTTTATAAATTTATTATATTTTAAACTCATTTTTATTAATTTATTTATTACTCTATTATTCAGCAGAGTTCTGAATATATTATGCTCAAATAACTTAAGGCTCAATAACAAAGACAAATAATGAAAGAATACTAGGTTGCTAAAACATAAACATCTACATAAGATAATTATGGAATACTGAAAAAAAATAGAAATACAAAAAAACAAAAATACTCATTATTAATATAAAATATAATAGTATAATATAAGGTATATTATAACATATGACACAATAATATCTACTTTTAATTAAAATATAAAAACAACAAAAATTAAAAAAGAAAATATTTTGATAAATAATAAATTATCATTCAAACAATTTTCAAGACCAAAAAATAACTTGTAACTTATTTTTTTACTTATCTTTATCTAACAAACATTACTTATTTTTTACTCATCTTCATCTAATAAACATTAATATTAATACCAATTTTAAACATTATTAGAATTTTTTTTTTATCAAAAAATAAAAATATTACATCAGTTACTTTTTGGGCTTTTCTTATTTTACTTAAAACATCAACTCAATTCTAGGCTTTTTTCATTATTGACTTTTAATTTGTAATGTTGAATTAACACTGAAAAAGAAAAATATTAGCAGACATAAAGAAAATATTTCTTTATTGAAATATATGAAAATATTTCAATAAAGAAATTTTAGATCGATTTTTATAAATATAAATTTATATCAATCAATCTAAATTTTTTTCTTTTCCGCCACCTTTTCGAAATGAAGAGCATTTTTAGAAGTTAGACAAAATGCCATCAATTAAAGTTTCAGTCGCTCCATCGTATTTAATAGAAGAAGCTGTTAATAAAAAAGAATTAGAAAAAAAAAAAAAAAAAAACACAAGGAGAAATTTTTGAATATATAAAAAATGAGAATAAAAAAGTTTTACATATCTTATAAAGGTATACCTTTCACTACACCGTATAAATTAGTGCTCTTAAAGCATATTTCCACCTTTCCCCTTCATATTCATGGAGGTCACAAAATTGTTGGAAAATATTTTAAATTTTAATAGATAAGAGAACTGATATTAATTGTGCGAGAACTAGTATTAATTTTTTTTTTTTAATTTAAATTGAACTCATTATCAAACAGTTTTTTTGCTAAATAATTTAATCCTTAAAATTCCTGAATAATTAAAAATTATTTTGATTACCTCAGCATTTTAAAGATACTCCATCAATTGCAATTGATTCACCTAAAAAAAACAACAACAAGTAAAGCTAATATTATTGTTTGAAATTTTAATTATCTTTATACAAATACATCATATTTTTAAAGTGACTGATAAAAATGGATTTAATTAAAATCACTTCATTTGTATTAAAAAATTAATATTAAAGCCTTAATCATACATTATACAAGAATATTTTGTAATACAATCTAAATAGTTATTGCGATATGTAATTTTTTTATCCGAAATTTAGCTTCTGTAAGCTTTAGAAATTTTTCAAAGAAATTATTGATGAATTTGGAGCTACGAGTACTAATGTTTTTATATTATTGTAATGTTTGTATTCGTTCCCTGTTAGTTTCTGTAAGTCAAAATTTTAAGGTGTTTCCATAATAAATTCTGTTATATCTAAAATTTAGTGTTAGTCTGAATGATTTAATTTCTAAAATCTGTTTTGCATTGCCTGTCTTTTAACATCTTTACTTGGAACAAAAACCATGTGGTTTAAAAGTGAGCTAGAAGCTTTTAACAATGAAGAAAATAATGCATTCACTAATCCTAAAAATATATTCAACCTGTCAGCAAAATCAGCTGTCAATAATCCAAGTATTAGCATCATTAAAAATTCATCTTTGCTGCATTACATTTATTTTGGTCCAAGTAGTTAAGGAATTTTTTAAATTTCAAAAAACAGAAGTAAATGTTTTTTTAATATCACTTTATCTCTTTTGATTAATGGTGATACTGCACTAACTGATGAAACACATTGACAGATGTAAGGCCAGTATAAAAGTCGCAA